ATATGAATGAATCTATATAGATCTGTACGTACATACATCTATCTGTCTGTCTATATGGAAGCTGGAACTGTCTTCACCTCTTTATAATTTAAGGAAATAAAGAAAGCTAGATAATGACTGGGCTACTTAATATGCCTGCAATACTGTAATACACTTTTGGTCCCTGTGTATTCTTTTATACATTCTCCTCCTAAAGTTAACTTTATTTACTAAAGCCCCTGCTCCCCCCCCATAATTTACTTGGTCCTGTTTCCCTCCCATTTGGATCCCCAAATGATCCTTATTGTTGTACCCTTGGGAAGATTTTTTTTTTAATGGCAGCTGTATTTGCTTGTAGTTTTTGTCTCACTTTTTGACATACAAACTTAGTCTTTCCTCCTGGATCTCTAAGGTACTGACTGCATCTTCTGTCACAGAGGCCTGCATTCCCTCTCCTATAACTAGTTTTAATCATCCAGGTGTTTCCTTATCCAAAGTCCTTGGCCAAATTCAGGGGTAGCTTTGTCACCTGCTTTGCCAAGGCTCTAAGCATCAGGTGATAGGGAGGGGCTTATATCCATAATTAGATCTTGTACCAGGTCTGATTTAGCCCTTCTGGCTTCTGTGCATTTTGTAGTTTGGGCATATTTTGCACAAGCCTCAGGACACCAGTGTCCTGGTATTCATAGCCTCGGAAGGCTACATGTGAAGAGAGTACGAGATTTGTGCCCCCCCACAACCTTTTGCTTGTTTTTGATGGCTAAAAATAATTTGAAAGCTGTAGGGTTTTCTCCTGTAATCACTTTTACATTTTTTCTGTACTATGTTTTCTGGAAGACACTAGATGACTGGAGAAGTACCTCTGTGATGTTTACAGTATGAATGTTGGAGTGGGGGAGAGAAGAGCTGTTTAGGTTAAAGAACTGAATAGTTGTTCCAGTTGGTACAAATTGGTTATTAATATATTTTGATTGGAAATTAGAATAAGAGCTCTAACTGCTAGAGGAGTAAAATTTTGGCTAATGTTCTGAGCAAAGCAGTGGGGAGGCAAAGATCTTGAGTTGTTTCCAGATGGGACTCAACAAGTTCATGAAAGGGATGGTATAGGACAGGGGCCCATGTGTCTCAGGGGCCCAACCACAGGGGAGCTAGAGACCCTCCCCTCAGGGTACCCCATGGATAAAACCCCCCCAGAAAAGAAACTATTTACCTGAAAGGACACAATTGGTAGTGCCCACCCGTTTCCGCCAAATCATTTGGCAATTGGCCCATTCCAACCCCATAGGAGGACACCTAGGTCGGGATAAGACCACCGCTAGAGTGTCCCGGTGGTTCTTCTGGCCAGGGTTGGGGAAGATATTGCATGCCATTGCGCAGCTTGTCCTGAATGTCAGAAAGCCAGGGAGGATTGCCTGGTAAGGGCCTCACTTCGACCCATTCCTATCATTGATATCCTGTTTTCAAGGATAGCCACGGATGTGGTTGGACCACTACCCTGTAGCAGCACAGGACACCAGTGTATACTGGTATTCATAGATTACACCACCTGGTACCCGGATGCTGTGCCCCTGCAGGCAGTAACAGCTCCATGGGTTGCGGAAGAACTCATTAAGTGGATAGTGAGGATGGGAATTCCTCAAGAAATCCTCACTGATTAGGGGCATAATTTCATGTCAGGGGTGTTACAAGTGGTGTGCCGCACCTTACGGATAAAACACCTGCGTACATCTGTGTACTTATGCTGTATAAGAGGAGACCGGCAAAAGTGGGATCTGCTTCTTCCGTTCTGTTTGTCCTTCGGGACACTTCACAGGAGTCAATGAAATATTCTCCCTTTGAGCTAGTATTAGGTCACCCCGAGAGGCCTACTCCAGGCCCTAAGAGAAGACTGGGAGCAAGATACGGGAAATATGAGAAATCCGATCACATATCAGCAAGAATTCCAACAAAGGATCCAGCTGGCCCAAGACCTGGCCAAGGATAATACGCAGGAGGCACAACATCATCAGAAAGAGAGGTGTGGTGCGCATACTAAAGATCGAGAATTCTAACCCAGACAGAGGGTGCTGGTGCTGGTGCTGCTGCCCACATCCTTGAGTAAACTGCTAACCCAGTGGCAGGGCCTGTTTGAGATAACCCGCAGGTTGGGACTGGTGGACTCTGAGGTTCACCGACCAGGCCATCTACGTGAGAAATGTATCACATCAACCTCTTGCGCGAATGGCGTGAACCGGAGCGATGGGCAGCCTTTATGGAGGCGGATACAGAAGACCTGGGACCCCAGGGAGTAATCCAAGAGAAAGGGACAGCTAGAATAGAGGACCAATTCCAAATAGAGTAAGAACTATTGACATCCCAAAGATATGAGATGCAGGCTCTGGTTAAGAAATTTAAAGATGTATTCTGAGAGGAACCTGGGTGGGTCCGGGGCACCTACCACACGATACAGACACCACTGGGAGCCACAGTGTGGGAGACAGGGCAACCAGCACCCCATCACCTCTCAGGAGAGGTATGCAAAGAGGTTGAGAAAATCCTTGTACAAGGGATCATACGCCCATCCAAAAGCCCGTGGTGAAGCCCGTTGGTCCCAGTCCCAAAACTAGATGGATCTCTGGGGTTAAGTGTCAATTACCAACAATTAAACACAATGGTGATCTTCGACGCATTCCCTGCGCTCCACGTCGCAGAACTAGTGGAACGCATTGGGAATGCCTAATATATCACAATGCTCAACTTGGCAAAGGGCTTTTGGCAGATCCCCGTGGCCAGCAGGGACCAGCCCAAGACAGCTTTCGTGATGCCATGGGGCCTATACGAGTTTGTTCACATGCAATGTCTAATGGACCAGATCCTGGCGCCACACACCGAGTACGCTGCAGCCTACATTGACAACATTGTCGTGTTCACACAAACTTGGGCTCAGCATAAAAGGGCCCTCCAGGCCGTACTGTCAGAACTAAGAAAAACAGGGATGACGGCAAACCCAAGAAAATGCGTGCTGGCTTAGAGGCAAACCAAATATCTAGGATTTTTGGTTGGACAAGGTATGATCAGGCCATTAGCTGACAAAGTGGAAACCATCTGCAACTTTAAGGCACCCCAGACCAGCAAACAGCTTAGATCCTTTTTGGGGTTGACCAGTTATTACCGCCGGTTTTTCCCCCGATTTTCTGAACTAGCAGCACCTCTTATGGAAGCCCTAAAAGGACAGTGGGCGGGAAGTATAAAATGGACGATCAAAATGACACAGAACTTTGAATTGCTCAAAAAGGCCCTATGCGAAGATGTCGTGAGACACACACCTGATTTCTGTAAACCTTTTATATTGCAGACAGATGTGTTGGAGACTGCTGTCAGGGCAGTCCTAATCCAAGAAGATGGAGGGATAGAGAGATCAGTTGCCTATGCCAGCTGAAAATTACTGCCTGCAGAAACATGGTATGCGACCATAGAACAGGAATGTTTGGCAATCCGCTGCGTGGTAGAACACTTCAGGTACTACCTGATGGGCAGGGAGTTTAAGCTGGTAATGGACCATGCTCCCTTAAGACGGCTAAGCACAGCCAGGACCGATAATACCTGGATTACAGGATGGGCCCTTGCACTACAACCATTCAGGTTCCACATGCTACATCGATCAGGGACAAGTAACGTAGTGGCAGATTTCTTATCCAGATTCGGAAACGAGACCAAATGTGGTGATGCCAAACACGAACCGAGTGAAACACCTGGGATGACAGGTAGGACACCAAAACAAGGAAATGAAGCGCCCCAAGGCATCTTAAAGGGGGGTTATGTCCCAGGGGCACAACCACAGGGGAGCTAGAGACCCTTCCCTCAGAGGACCCCAGGATGGGGGCTACACACCCTGTGGATAAAACCCCCCAAAAAAGAAACTACTTACTGGCCACAGGATGCCAGACCCTGAAGGAACAAAGAGCATGCATTTCATGAGCTGTGCCTATATACAGCTGGAGCCAGTGGGTGATGTCAGGAGCAATCACCGGCCAGCAAAGATAAAAGGGAACACCAAAAGAGACATGGGGAGAGGTAGTGGAGGTTTCAGAGGCTCTCCATGCCCACATGAAAGAAAGAATGGATCCAGATCAGAGAGCGGCAGTGGAGGCTGCAGAGGCTCTCTGTATCAGTGGCAAGCAGCCCCAGTGGGAAGGGGTGGATTATGCTTGGGGAGAGGCAGCCCGAGCGGCAGGGAATAAACCCCGCACCGGTCACAAGCAGCACCGGTATCCAGGAGACAACTTCGCTCCTGAAGGAACTATAGCAAACTTGGAGTCGGCGGAGGCTTCCTACTCTGGGTTCATACAGGTATGAAGACGTGGAGGGAGGCTGACCCAGAGAAGGACAGAAGACACCCCGATGAAAGCGCAGAGCGGAGCAGTGCTGGTGGACACCACCTGGCTTAGGCTCTAGGGCTGAAAGAGGGAAGGAGCAGTGTATCCTGATCTCTTCTATCCGCCCTCCTATTCTTTTCTTTAAGTCCCTTTTTCTCTTTAGTTACCACTGGTCTGTATAGTCTCTTGTGTTGCTGTTGTTGTCTGTCGGGTTTTTTTTGGGTGTTCAGTGGTTAGGTATGCCTTGAGGGGGATCTGGCCGACACTGCATCCCCAGGGTGATCACGAGGCTCAGCAAGTAGCCGTTGACAACACGGAAGATAGACAACACGGGCGTACCCAGTAGGCTTGTAGCCTATCAAAGAAACAAAGTTAATAACCAATCCTGAAGAGGGCGTGAAGGTCAAAGGTCATCTAAACCGGAGGGACAGCCCTGTTAAAATCAGGTGGCCCACTGGAGAATGGTATAAGGAAGGGGTGTAGGGGAGGTGGAGCCCCACGAATATCCGCCAGGAGGAGTGACGGACTCCAGGGGACCTACAGAAGAAGACCCCTCCACTGAAAATACATTCAGAGTCATGGCAGGAGTCTTTCTCAGTGGCCACATGAACCCTCACCACACCCTCCACCAGGCACATGTGCTAAGGCAGCGCATGAACAGGTATTTGAAGTGAGGCGATCACACCATGGATTGATAATCTGTGAGTAATATGCTAATCCATGAGATTCAGGCACTTGCAATCCCCATGTTGAGGATAAACGGTAGATTTTTCTGTGTATGGCAAGTGCCTGGCTATCCTGTGCTTCAGGGTTTCTACTGATCATCTGCAGGGGTCAGGAAGGAGTCCTTCTTCCTTTTCTTTGGAATGTTCTGTAGGCTTCTGTGTGGTTTTTTTCAGCTTTCTCCGAAGCACTTGATGCTGGACACAGGGAAATTTGGGAGGGTTTATCATGTTGTTACCTACGATGCTATTGTTTGGTGACCAGTTTCCCTTCTTCTTGTCCACTTTGAGGTACATCTTATCAATTGAAAATGAAGAGGAGATCCGAGAATATGTAATTGACCTCATCCAGGGGGCTGATGGGAAGAAGAGTCGGTTTATAGAAGAACTGGTAGCCAGGTGGCAAAAATCTTCTCAGCCAGCTTCTGACACTCTGCCAGTATACAGGAAAAAAGATGGTAGGTTAAAGTGACAATATGTTGGTGGAATTAAAGCACTGAAAGGAACCCAACTTACCTTAGTTACCTAATTTAACCAACACTTTTAGAGCCCTGAAGTGCCCTCTGCAGCTGGTTCTGCTATTGGGTCTCATTTTTTGCCCAGCAGGAATGTTTACTGCTTGGTGAGTGTTCTTCCTAAGATCACCAGAGTTCATGGATGCTGTCCTTTCTTGCTGAAGGCTAATATGCCTTCCTTCCTGTGTGCACAACTGTTTAGAGACTTCAGAGGTGCAGCGGGCCGGAGACCAAGCCAAACGGGGTAGACGCAAAGGAAGGAACAAGCAGGAAACACCTGTGTATGCTGAGCCTGATGTGCCTGTTGAGGAAGTAAAAACACCTCTTGATCTGGCCAAGGTGAGTGTGTCTGGCTCTGAGGCAGACGGACTGCTGTAGAACTCGGAGGATATGGGTCTCCCAGTTGAATATAAGAGGCCCCCTATACACATTACAGGTATCGCTCAATTATCTGGTTAATTGTGCAATTACCTTGAGACAAGCTACATGTGCAAAGTAGTTATGATAAAAAGCTCCAACCAACTATAAAGTCAGACCTCAAAAATGTGTACTAACTTTTATAGCTGCTTGCTATTGAGCTTTAATTTGCACGTGTAGCAGGGTCTCCCCAGTAGCTGAGAGCCCTGTGTAACTCTGTGGTTGCCATGACCCCTAAGGCTTGGGGTGCAGGAAACCCCACACTGGGCTCTTTGTCCTGCCTGCACCTTATCTGCAACTAGGACTGAGAGTTTCACACCTGATGGGACTCTGGGTCTCGGCAGAACTGAGACACCTTGCAGCTGATGGGTCTGTGGGTCCCAGTTCACCTCAGATAAGGCACACCCGGGACTCAGGGCCCCATCAGCTGCAGGACTCTTAGTTCTGGCTGTGCATAGTCTCTGTGGGTGGAAGCCGCCTCAGCAAAGGGTGCTCTAAGCTATGGGTGCCTGCTTCTTGCTGATGCAGGGGGAGCCCAGGATCAGGCTCCTCCTACATGGGCAATAAGGCATGATTAGATCTAATACACAGTCCCATAATTGCGCCTCTTGCCATGCACTAGTGGCATGGCAGGAGGTGCAGTTGTTTGGATCCCACATTAGATGCAGTCGTGTCTTTACCTGCATGTGTAAAGGATCTTTGAGGCTGATGACTGGCAGATTCCCCCCTCTCCCTCCCCCCTGCCCGCAGCAAACTTTTTAATTACTAGCCCCAGTGGTATTTTTCCATTACAGATTTGGGAAAGACAGCACTGCTTTACTTATCCCTGCATGTATATTTTTAAAGTTCTTTTTGCAACTGTGGGGACGTTGCTGTTAAAAAGTGAAAGCTGGCTTTGTACAGATATATTGGCAAATAAAAATATCAGTCACCAGAACTGCTAGAAGTCATTTTGACGAGCAGTGTGTTTTCTCCGTTAACATGGAAAAAAAATAAAGTGTCCTTAGTTTTTTGTCCCTTTTTAGCTTATAAGAAAGAGTGCAGCAGACAAATGAAAGTGGGTGTGTAACAGGGAACCCTAACCCTATTACCAGAAAGCAGACCAGTTCCTTTAAGACCAGAACTTTCTGGGCACAGCCTGTTGGCAGGGTAGCAGTTAAAAGCTGAGCCTGGCCAGCTAGTCAGGTAACCGGAAGGGGGCAGGCCAGAGCTATAAAAACCCTGGACTTGGTGGCAGTTAGAGGCAGTGGCGAAGGGGAAGCAGGTTGTACATGGGAGCTCCACAGAGAGGCTTAGCTGCCGGTCCAGCTGCTGTGAGAAGGGAACTCCTGATGACTCTCAGAGAAGCGGTGGCAGCACCACAGGGAGTAATGTCACAGACAGCGGGGAAGCAGAAGCACCAAGCCACGAAGAAATGTAAGCTGGCATGCTGCCTTCTTTAATTTCTATTTTTTTGTGGTTATAACCCATGAACTTACTGCTGATATATAATTGTTGATTGATAGACCAGTGGGTTGTGGTCAAGGCTGTAGGAGAGGAGATCTCATTAGCACCTTGGGTGCAGTCATAAAAGGCCAAAGGGCATAATGCACTAGAGTGTGTAGCCATATATGGTCTGTAGCTCAGAACTGGTTGCAGGACTTTTAAGCCGGGTCCCAGTGGGGGGATCTCAGCTAGCAGCCTGAGCTAAAGGAAAGGGTGCCCTTGGCAGTAGGAGCTTTGGGCTGCTGCCTGGATTGGAACTTGAGGCCTACTGGCTCCGTGCCCAGCGGACAGGCCTCTGGGCTAGAAAGCCTGGGCTTCGGATTGAAAACAAAAGGTGGGCCACAGGCTCCGAGAAGATTAAATAGCTAGACCTTGGACTCAAACCCTATCTGGTGGGTTTAGATTGGTAGGCCTCACTAGAGAAAGATGGGGACAAGGCCCATGGTGGCTGAGAACCCCAACATAGAATTACAATAGGCAGTCTCCCACTTGTAAGAGCATCTAAATAATATTTATATCAAGACGTGGCAGGAGAATAAAGGCAGGATATGAGATCAACGAGAGAAAATGAAACATTAAGGGATGTCAGGGGTGCCCCTCATAGGCAAAAAGGAAAAATGCTGCTGGGGAGGGCAACCTGTTACAGGGTGCTATGCAGAGGGGCATAATGTGCATGCTTATAGCAGAGGACAGAGATTGGTGGAGAGATTTAGAGTGGAGTTGGCTTGCATGTAGGATCTAATAGAAATGTGATATTGGAGAATCAGTTGCAGCTTCTCTGTCGGGAGCCTTCTTCTCCTGGTGGAGAAAGCTTCAACTGACAGCTGGAAGCTCTTCATGTTGCTTTGCTCCTGCACCTTCCTGTGAAAAGCTTTGAGTCTCAGAAAGAGGAAGCTGAAAGTTTTAACCAATGGCTTGCAGAGTTTGGAAGGGGTCTGATTATTTGACTGGCCAAACAGCTTGCTTCCTTGCTGAATCCCATTCTCTAGCCAGCTGCTAGCCTCAGGAGCTTGATTGTATAACCCAACTTTCAAGAAAGTTTATAATTCATATTGGATAGAGCAGGCTAAGCCAGCATTATCTTTAATATGGAAATGCAACCTGCCAAAAAATAAGACTTCTATACAGTGCTTCTGAGTTGAGTCCTTAGACTCAGGATGGAATGTTGCATGCTGGGGCATGTAGTTGCTATGGGCTGTGTCTGAATGTTAATAATGGGATTCCTTCAGGCTAAACTTGAGGGGTTGCAGTTTGATTTGCTGTTTTACCACTTGATTTAATCAAAGCAGTATCTCAACCAGGGGACCACATAAGATTAAACCCAGAGTTTTCAAAGAAGAATCCATAGTCTTAAAATCATTCTTATATGCTCTGGTCTTTTTGAGTCCTTTGCAGCAGAAGAATTGTTCTATCATTTTTCTATAGTCAAGAAACAACTAAAAGCTAAGAGCTGGCATTTTCTGAAGGGTGCTTGGAGTCTAAAATGGTTGAGAACCACTGAAACTGGAGGCTTCCGCATAGGGCAACTCTCCCTTGACTTACTGATGTGTTTAGTGAAACTGGCCTGGTTGGATAGTGGCTGGAGCTGTCTGGTTGCTTCTGACCACATGGTCTGTTTAAAAGCCAGTATCTTCTCTCTCACGGTTAAGTTGCAGTGAGAACTCAGTTTAAAGTTGTTGCTTGGTGTTTGCAAATTAGGCACAAGAAATCATCAGCAGTGGTAACAACAGCAGCAGTTGTTCCAAGAAAAAGGCCAAATATGTCAGCCTGTACACCAAAGAGGGTCAGGACAAGCTTACTGTCCTCATTCCTGGGCGCCATTCCTGCGAGTGCCTTGGCCAGAAGCACAAACTCATCAATAACTGCCTGACTTGTGGGCGTATTGTCTGTGAACAGGAGGGCTCTGGTCCCTGCTTATTCTGTGGTACACTGGTATGTAACACCCTGGTTTTTTTTCTTTTTTTTGTTTTCCCTACTTTATTGTAGTATGCTGTGTTTGGATCTTTGAGATGTTGTGGGGCGGGATTAGCCTCACTAGCTTCTCTCTCCTGGAGAGATGGAAAAGACTTCCTATTCTGAACTTGTCTTCCAGATCAAAGCCTTGGGGTGATTCACAAAAGCTTTCTGGGGTGAGAATGTACTGCATCTAGGGGATGGGTGGAAAGCAAGTCTTAAAGGTGTGGATGTGTATTTTACATAACCCTGGGGCTTGTCTAAGTTATGGCAGCTTCCTGGGTTGTTTCATGGGCCAGGGTCTGCCTGGAATGTATCACAGCCCTGCATTGACACATCCCCTAACCCAAAAGTTATGATTTGAATCCTTTGAAAGCAACCTTTTGGCTATCTTAACTCACAAGGATGACACTGTCCATCTAGAACTGTGTTTCTCATCTGTGTGTCGTGACCCAAAACTGGGTCGCAAGAATATATGAAAGGGTCACGAAGAAACTTTAAGACTGGATCCACAAACTTTAAAAATGGATTCATCTTTAAAGAAAGAGAAAAACATAGGAAACCATGTTTTTTTTCCTTGCAGGCTGTCAGAGTTCTAGGCTGCAAGGGGCTGCTTGGGGCTCCCCATGCCCCACACACTGGGAGACTGGGGTCTGGGGTGGGGGGCAGTGGGTTGGGTGTGAGGGGCACTGGGTTGGGACTGGCCACCAATGTATACAAATTGTTCCTGGTACAAAAAAGTTTAAGTACTTCTGATCTAGAACTAGATGTTTCAGTGTACCTGTGTACTGCCTTGCCCTTTCTCATGACTTAGATAAAAAGGGGGAGAATCCTTCCCATAAGTCACACAATTGTATCTGTTTTTAAAGTGAGACTAGGAAAAGTTGATGTGAATTATTTTCCATTCCTTGTTCACCATCCTGTCTCCCCTCTTTCCACAAGAGGGCATGGTTTGGCTTTGATTTACCCAGTTGTACAATAGAATGATGCTTCCTTGCCTCTCTGGGGTTTGTGACACTTAGCTCAAGGTGAGCTACAAAGAAGCAGAAAAGGCCTGTCCTCATCTTTTTTAGCCTTTGCTCCTTGCCATTAAGTTTTGTCCAGAGCTCTGAGATTGTCAGGTGCCAAATATCTGTTCTTTTCTAGGTGTGCACAAAAGAAGAGCAGGAAATTCTGCAGCGTGACTCAAACAAGAGCCAGAAGCTGCTGAAGAAGCTCATGGCAGGTTGGTAGCCACCATGTTGTGGCAACGTAGCTCATCTGATAAACTAGATAGCAGGGTAAGCCCTGCTATACATCAGTGTGTCCACACTGCAGGCTTATATCACTGTTTTATAGTAGATAGGGACTAAATCTTGCTCTCTCCTTAGCAGATTGAATCTACTAATTTTTTTGCTATAGGGAGGAGCTTTTGATAACTGTATGTTGGGACTGAGGGGCTTGATCACCTGACATTTTGTCTACTATCTAAGCACCTCAGAGATAATTGCTAAAGCCTTGCTCAGAAATCTTCCATGGGCAGCCATCTCCATTGCGCTGTGGCACCTTCCTTGGATGAGAATCTTGCTGATGCCCATTTGCCCACTAACTTTGCTTCTTGCTCAGCATGTGACAGGCCTCTGCAGGCTGTAGCAAGAGTGGGACTGGTCTGGATATGTTAGGTAGTCTGAATTATTCACAGTAATCAGATGTTTACAGCCCTTGCCAGTGAGAATAGAAGTTCCTTATATAGTGTCTTCTGCAGAGGACCAGGGAAACTAGCAATGTGATTCAGAGGTTTTTGAGAGAAGCAGCTATTGTTGATGTTCTTGCTAATAACATTTTGTAACTGAAATTTGTATTGGGTGGTAAAGATTTGAGGGCAGAAACCAAGTAAAAAACCAATCCCATTACTGAGCATTTGTGGATTACGAGAGTTATCTGCATTAATTTGGCTGAAACATCCATGTTGATAAAGCTCTAGGAAAACCTTACTGAAGAACTTGGGAGCTCTTCAACTGTTGGGTGTTGGTATAAGCTTCTGTTCCTTTGCTTCCTAAATCCCTAAAAATTAGAGCTGCCCTTTCTCTTGCAAATAATGTCAGGCAACTGGCAATTCTCTGCAGAGAGTTTGATGCGAGTCAGTGTCAGGAGTGTCAGTCCCCAGCCTTCTCAGTGCTTTGCCCTCTCCCTTTGCTCAGTTTCATTTCTTCATTATCTCTCCTAGCTGAAGCTGAAGGGTGATTAGCTGTCTCTCTCTGCAGCACACAGATACGGCTCAGTGACAGTGGGAGAATGTAGAGCCTTCCACCTCTTTAAATCCTGGCCCTCTCCATTAGCAGGCTTTGCGATGTTCTGTGTGGAGCATATTGGCAGGTTTCATCGTAGCTACAAGGTTAACAGTGTTTTTTTGTTTTTTTATGAATTCTGGCCTCTTTTAGCCAGAAGCCAAGAATTGATGCTGGCCCTGACTTCCCCTCAGCTCTGTTAAACTTGTTGCACTAAGCTATCTTGTTGGGCTGTGTGCATGCATGCGTGTGTGTGTGGGGGGGGGTTGCAGGGGGGCTTCTTCAGCTGGGCAGTAGTAGAGGTTCTGTGGATAAATAGGTGGTCCAGATTTGAGTGCTGCTAATCTGGTCCCTTGAAGTAATGCTCCTTGAAATGCTTTTAAAAGGCTGAGGAGGTCTTTGCCTCTGGCTTATCCTCCATTGGAGATTGGCCATGAGTAGAGCTTTGGCAAGGCACAATCTGCTGGTGCTGCCTTGAAGTCTAATCCAGCCTGAATGGATGGTGGGTATTGGGGCAGGCTGGAGCTGGCTTTGTTAAATGGCAGGACTCTGGCTTGCTTAAGAAGTTCTTTTTAGTTTCTTTCTTTCTTGGCTTTTTGTATCTCATTTCAGACGCATCTGCTTTTCCAATGGTGTGTGCGGGATGTATGAATGATCTGGAGGAGCCTTAGTGTCACGTATAACATGAGTCAGTAGAATAAACTCCTTGACTTGGGATCCTCAGGGCTCAGTACTGTCACACTCCCATGTGAACACTGTTAGACCCTCCTTGGTATGAAACAGCACTTGGCACAAGATCAAGCCCTTAGCTGTTGGGCCTGATAGAAGATTCTCAGTTCCTAAGCTCTGAGAATTCCTGAGTGAGGATTTCAGAGTTGTGCTTGCCTGTTACAGAGCCTCGCTAGGAGTCAAATGTCCATCAGTTGGGGGTGGGGCAGGGTGGATATATTCCCGGTGCACAGCTTTAGGTGAGAAATAACCCAAACACCTGTATCTGGAAAGGGCCTGTTGCAAAGCCAGTTGAAATGAAGAAAGCTTTTCCTTTGAATTAACCTGCTTGAGACTAGGCCCTAAAATGGTTATCAAACACTGTGGAGCCCTGCCATCTGGCCCCCAGTGCTGCCTCTGGGTCTGATCAGACCCGTACAGGGTATTGCACACACCCATGGTGCAGGGCCAATCTACAGCTCAGATCAAAGCCACGGACCCCCTCCCCTTCTCCCTTCTATTCCCTCAACAACCCCAGTTTGGTGACTGCTCCAGGCTATCTGGGACCTGTGTTGCATACAACATGGATCCTGGAGCAACAGGCGCTGTGCCCACCTTGGCTGGACTGCGCCACACACGGTTCCCCTCTTGGATGCACACCACATATGACATCTGCTCTAGCTGGTCCAGGGCCCACCCTGCATGCAGCAGTGCTCAGACCAGGACATCTTACCTCCTGAGGGACAGAAAGCTGAAAGAGATTGGGGCAAGGGTGGGGACAGTGGGAGTGGGGAAAGCAGGGAGATAGGATTTAGGTCATTTTAAAACTGTATCTTTAAACTGTTTTAATGTCATGCATTCTTGGGAGTGTAGTCTGCTCCTTCACAAGTAATATTTAGTGACCAGCCCTTTCTTGAGTGGTTTATTTCTGTGTAATGCAGGTTCTGAGAGTTCTGGGAAGATGGAGGCAATCAGCAGGGACCTACTGCCTCGCCAGGAAGCTCGACTGAAGGCAGGCCTGGAGATGGCTGTGAAACACAAGGACAAATTGTTGGAGTTTGACAAGACAAGGTACAGGGCTACCTGAGGCTGCTGTTCTGCAGACAGGAGCCACCCTTGATATAAAAGTACCAAGGTTTCATCCCTTCCAATACTGTGTTATGGCCACAGATCTATTAAATTAACTCTAGGGTGGTGTCTTCTACCATAGAGTTCCAAGGAAAAGATGTACTGGCAGTGGCAGCCTCAGCTGATGCCCAGCTGCCCCTCAGCAGTGTGTCTTAGTCTCAAATTGGTTGGAGGCTCTTCAGCAGGGGGAGGAAATTCTGGTCTTTGTGGTTTGTTGGGTCATTAACTTCCCAGCTGAGTCTTTCAGTAAGTGGACCAAGGATTTGTGTCCTCTAGGGATTTCAAGGGAAGCAGCAGTATGCTCTGTAATGGCCCCTGAGCAGCTGTGAGGTAGAAGAGGGATTGGATCCCTGCACAGCTGCGTGTAGCTGGAAAGTGTGATTGCTGTTTTGCCTTCAGGCTTGAGTTTGATAGGGAAGTCATACATCAACTAACTGTATGTGTCTGACGCATGAAATGTGACCAGATTCCCTGCCCTTTGCAGGAACTACTGGTTGGCCCACTTACAGCTCTTGCTACAATTCTGCATTGGTGCTGCACCTTGTGCTGGTCTGTGCCTAACTTTCCCTCCCCCTCTTTACAAATTCTCTCTTTATGTGGCAAATGTCAGGTAAGGGTGAACAGCATAGGACATAATGCATCCTTTCTGCCTTAGGATGCATAGTGCAGCACTGAAATTGTTTGTTTTTAAGTAAGTTTTTATTTCTACCTTGCAAAAGCAGGAATGTCATGTCTTGTCCACTGTGGTGTGTTTCTGAGGGGCCTTGAAAGATGTGTGTTCTGAACTCTCAACACCCTGTCCTGCAGCTGGAAAGTGGATCTTTAACAAAGTAATTATTTCTACCTAGTGATCATTATGTACAGTATAACCTCATAAATCTGGCATGCTCGGAACCGAGCCACCTGCCAGAAATTTGAAAATTCTGTTTTTTTTAAATTGGAGCAGCCGCTGGTTGCAGAGTGGGGGAAGGGGGGAGCGGGCGGTGGTGGCAATAACAGCTGGTCCCAGAGCAGTGGCTGCATGCAGAATGGGGTGGTGGCTTGTGGTGCCAGCTGCCGTGTGGAAGCTTCCCCCTCTGTGTCCAGTGGGGGTAGGGGGGAGTGGAAGCCAGTCTTGGAGCAGCAGCTGCATGTGGAGCAGTGACCTGGGGTGGTGGATGGCGGTGGCAGTCGCCATGTGCAAGCTTCCCCCTCCATGTCCAGGGGAACAGAGTGGGAAGCTTAAAAAGTGCTGGATTTTTGAGAATTCTGGATTTTCGAGATCCAAATTTATGAGGTTGTACTGTAATAGAATTAAACAGTCTGAGTAATATTCTTTTCCCCTCCTAGTCACTGTAGCTTTCACTCTCCTGTGGCATTGTCTCTTCACTATTTTTCTCAATCACTGTAGAGATTTCTGCAGCAGACGAGATCTGAATTAACATAACAATGTAATTGTAAGATGCTAACAAAAAGCCATCAAGAAATTTTCTGTTAAAACCCATCCTGGATTTTTCATTCATCAAATACTATTTTGTGTGAGGGAGAGGCACAGACCCTCCTCCACCCCCCATTATAGTTCAGATGCCCACCTTGCTATATATCCACTTGCACTAAATACATCAGTAACTACAGCTAGTGCATGAGTCTATTCTGACTGCATTTTCCCTTATATTAAGGCAGTATCTGCCCTTGGATGCTCAGAGTTAGGGACCTGAATTTTTCATTTTGGTTTCACAGCTGGAAGGAGTGAGAGAGGGAGTGAAAAAGTAGCACTTCTAGATCTAATGTGGAAAAAGGTTTATAGTCTCTTTCCCAGGGTTGTCGGTGTCATGTATGGTCAGTTTTCAACACAACAGGAAGCATCAGCATTTGCAGTGTATGCTGTCAGTGCCCTCCGAGCTGTGCTCACAGCTGCCAGGTGGAAGGAGGCTCTCACCTTTTGAATTTTTCAAGCATTGTACTGAGGTCAGGAGAGGGGCAGTGCAGTGATCGATTGGTGGTGCTGCCTGAGGTTTAATTTTCTGTCTTGATCTCTTCCTCACACTAAACCAGCAGAGTTTGGTGGTGCTCTCTACCCTGAGGTGGGAGAAGAGAGATATCACTCCATTCTGTCATTCAGAAGACATAGGGGTTCTGGTGTCCGTTTGGAATAAATGGGCCCAGTGTCAAAGGTATTAAAATGACTTTGTTACTGTACAATAATTAACCTTGATCCAAGGTTTTGAGTACAGAGACCTCGGTCTGCTTCACCCCATGGCTACAACCACCATAAGAAATTGATAACCTGCTATTCCATGCACAGAAGAAGGAAATTTTATTAAAGCATTGGAAATGAAACATTTTAAGTAAGGCCTTTACTTTAACAACACCCTCTGTTTCCTTTCACATTGGCTGTAGGGTGTTTTTTTAATAAGGAAAACCACTGTTTGACATTGGGTGGTGTTAAAGTTGGAAATAACCCTCCTTTTCTAGAGGTGGGGGAGGAAATCGGTTGAGCCTAGCTGAAGTTGCTGCTATTAAAGTTTTGTCTCCTTTCTTGATGTCCAAACAAGACAAAATCACACAAGACAGAAGAAAAATACAGTAGTAGGTAGATGATGCAGTTTCTATCCCTGGTACTGATTCTTGCAAAATTTGCTTCTGGGTAAACATAGGTCAAGCTCAGAGTATTTTGTCAGCCACTCTGATGACTAACAAGCTTGTAACAGATATATAAAGATTGCTTTCAGCTGTGATTGGGAAATCATGGAAGTGATGCATCCAAGCTTTTCATAGACGGAAGGCAAAAGGAGAAAGTTGGGAGAGGAGGGGGAGAGAAATGAACCAGGGGGAAAGAAATGAACCAAGAAAGGAGAGGGTAAGAGCAGGAACCCAAGTCTTGTATCCCAAATGCTGTTCAAGACTTACCTAAAGTTGTTTGAGGTGAGAGATCACCTGGCTCCCTTTGTCTTTGACCTGGTCTAGTTGGTACATCTTTCAGGATCAGGGTGAAGGCCCCACAGTGCCATAGTAGATCCTGAAGTCCCAGGAAGTGATGGAGATAGCAGCACAATGGTAAAACTCACTCCGTGCAGGCCAACTGCCTTCCACAAAGTTTGCCTTGTAAGGAAGTCCAGAAGGATGAGGTGCAAGAGCTCATCCCCTCTGTCTGTTATCTATTAGTGAGACCCAGTTTTTAGCGTGCCAGTGTTGGGCCATTCATTTTCCATGCCATTCTCCTTTTGTTTTACCTCCTTCTTTCCCCTTTCCCCAACCACCCCTCAGTCTTAACACAGTCCTTGGGTGGTATATGGACCAATTCCAGTTTTATGCCTTTCAGTTGTTGATTTTTGTTAAAAAAAAGAAAAGAAAATGGAACAAATTGAGTTGGGCTTTTGCTGTCTTGGACATGTAGAGCACAGGCCTCCAGGGCAAAGGTTGTGTTTGTGGATGCAGATCTCAGGGATTTACAATAAACGCTGAAATCCCTTCTACAGGGGAGAGAACAGATGCTGCTACAGCTTGGGAAGGGAGTGGACACTGCAGGCTTGGGCTGAATGCAGCCCAGAGCTGCCTCGTTTTTTAACATATAGTCTGCCATAGCTTCTGGCACCATCAATTTGAGATTCCCTGTCCAAATTCATGAGAGCTGCCTTCATGGCATAACTGTCATCTCCACAGGCTGCTTCTCTGCATTAGAGATGCAGTAGTTTCACTGTACTTTGTTTTATTCTATCAGGTCCCTGACAGACTGCCAGCACGACCCTCAAACAGGCAAAGTTTGAGTGCTTCAGCTTATTGTAACTGCCCAGACAGATTCCTTTGGGATGGGGTGACTTTGCTCAGGCACATGATTCCCAGATATGTCTGGGGCTATTTGCTATCATTCTCAGTGCCCATTCTGTTACTTCTCCATGTTTGTCTCTCACCAGTGTGCGTCGTACCCATGTCATCGATGATGAGTCAGACTACTTTGCCACTGACTCCAACCAGTGGCTCTCCAAACAGGAGAGGGAGGTGTTGCAGAAGAGGGAGAAGGAGCTGCGTGAGCTGCGCCATGCTTCCCGACTCACCAAGAAAATCACTATCGACTTTGCTGGCAGGCAGATCCTGGAGGAGGAGGACAACATGGCTGAGTACCACAGCAAGTGAGTAGGTGGTGCTGGGTGTGGGGAAAGGGAGATGAGGAATACTGTCACTGTCTTTTGGAGGTGGCCCAGCTGCTTGAGATCAGCTTCCTCTCTCTGCATTTTTCATTGCTGGGAACGTGCAGGATCCTGAGCTCTTAGCCGCTGATTTGTTCCTGCCAGTTATTTCTCCCATTTGCAGTTTCATCCCTCTAAACTAAAGTTTCAGTTATGGTGGCACAACCAAAGAGTTTGGAGGCACTTGCTTCAGGAGCAGATGTAGCTTTTGAGGATGGGAGAGTCATTTGCCATGCTGTGTTGAGTAATACAGAAAAAGAAAAAGTGGGGAGCGGTGGTTGAATGATGATTTGATGTTCCCTCATTCTTTCCATTCTTAGGTATTTTTCAAATTTCATGGACAGGGGATGCTTCCCAGCAAATGAAATTCAGCCCTCTCTGGGGTGGAACATGGCAGGTCTTAGGTGTTTAACTGGATTAAATGTGATCCAATTTTACCTCACTCAAGTCCATGAAAGGAAGTTAGTGTGCCATCTTTTGTAACATGCCATTTTCTTTATCTTAAAAAGGCATTATAAGAAGCAGCAAGTGGTGAGGGGGCTTACCCATTCAGCATTTGTATGAACCTTTTTTCATGGACTTGAGCAGGACAGAATAGGATCCAGTCCTCTGGGTTTTACAGTGCTGCACCCTAATTGTGAGTGGGGGCAGTGAAGGTCATCTCAGGAAGGAAACTTGTGGATGGGCTTGCACAAAAAGGGATCTTGCCTGGCCCCTTGGGATGTTGGAAGAATGGTTAGGACACTGGCTGGGGAGGTAAGACATTTGGGTTTAAGTCTCTGCTTCGCCTCAGACCTTCAAACAAGTCACCCAGCCCCCCTGTAAAACAGGGCCATCACCCCACCTCATAGGGACATACATCCCAGTGGAAAGAGTGTCCATGATTCAGTCAGAATTTTCTTTAGCTGGCAGGTGCATTGGTGTTCAGGGGGTAGTGGCTGTCCTGAGAAAAGGCAAAACAGAGTATCGCCATCTGTAGCAACCATATCTTGAGATCCTGAAAGAGCAGGATTGGCTTCTCTGACTTGAAATATGAGGAAAGGAGAGCACAGGGGGAGCAGCCTGTTTGGTGGGGAGGTGAAAAGAAATGGCTGGGTGGATTGGGGGACCTTGAGAGGCATTGCCAGCCAGAGGGTGGGAGGGAGCAAGGTGTGTAAAAGTAGTTTATTTCTCTTTTGCAGACTGGATGAAACCATTGAGGCCGTTCATAGTGGCACGCTGAGCAAGTCATTGAAGAGCCCTGATGGGAAAAGTGCAGAGGTGTCTGGGGTTCTGGTGAATCCCTACCTGCTCCAACCTGCCCCTTTGGTCAGTGCAACTTCAGTGCTTTATCCCTGAGTGTTAACTAACGAGAGAGAGGGAGCTGAGGATTGTATCTCCCTGTGGGACAGGGGATGCCTCTTCCTTCCCTGGCTTTCTCAGAGATACCTCAGGTTTGAAAAAGGCCTGCTAGTCAATCCCCTTCCTCAACCTATGTTGGATTTTTACCTGTTGTGTCATCACTTTGTCCTTAAAAGTCCTGACTTACTAGGCTTAGCCCTGCCTCAGACTGACCTGTTTCACTCTTGGAAAGGTTTCCTGAGGTTCAGCCTAAAGCAGTTTTCCTTCTCAGTTCTTGTTTGGAGAGACTCCTGCTACTTTTACCCCCTCAGCCATAATCTTCCTTCTGTAATACCCCCTCTGGTCTTTGCTCGTTTTGTGCATAGTGTGTGCTTGTGCTCAGACACTTTAGAGCATTAAAGGGTTCTTACCATTTGTCTGCTGAGTTGGATCATGTTGGATCCTGCAGGCTTCGTGTCCTTCTGTCCATCCCAAGCCCCTGTGCCTTTCTTTCCCTTTTCTTAGCCCCTTGGCATCATTCAGATATTTTCCCTGGGTTTGGTGGGAACTTTTAGGTGTTAGCTGTTGGCTTTTATTTCATCCCTTTTGAAAAGGAAAGGAGCATGATTGGTTAATATTATAGCCCTGAGCACTGCTGCTACCTCCAGAAGGGCTCTGTGGCTGCACCAGATGGCTAACTCAGAACACCAGTGTCCCATCTGGCAATCCATGATACAAGAGGATTGTCTGAATGGGGCCTTTAAGCCTCCATTAAACCCTTCTGAGTACCAGTGCAGCCAGCTGGGCAGTGATCAGCTGTGAGTGCATTTTGAACATGCTGCCTGCTTGTGAATGCTGTGGGACCCCCCTTTGTTGTTCTGCTCTTTAAAGATGTGGCTGAGCTGCAGGGCATGTGAAGCGAGAATTGCTTTTGCTGCTACCAGGCAGAGACTGCAGACTTTGGTGGGCAGTGCTCCATCTCACTGTGAGTGGCTTGCACTTCTTTGCATGCTGGGTTTGTTGTCTGTATGGACAGCTTGATGAAGGCAGTCCCATAGCCTACATCTTGCCATGCGCTAACTGACTGCTGGCATCTCTTCCTTCTCTACTTCAGATCTAGCTTGGCCAGCATTCACCAGAGAAGGCTAAGATAGGTTTTCTAAGGCTGTGGGGTTTTCTAAGTTTCTAAGGTTTCTAAGTTTCTAAGGGTTTCTAAGTCAGTAAAACTAACTCAGTGAGGGAGGAGCCATCATACCCACTATTTTTAAAAAAAAGAAAAGGAAGAGGTATTAATCTTCTCTTGTCTGTCTGTTTTAAACATGCTGTAGTGGGTGGATCAGACTGGCCTGCTCCCACGTAGGAAAATCACCCAACCAGCAGATGCTGAGAATGAGCCTGGCTCTGAAAGGAGCAGGTTACGGATTCAGGACCGAGAGTTGCAGGAGATCTCAGATGATGGCTGGTGCCTCAGCATGCACCAGCCTTGGGCTTCTTTGCTGATCAGAGGAATCAAAAGGTAAAAGAGGGCACAGAATAATGATCTATTCTCAGCCATACACAGCTCTTGCTACAGGGTTGGGAAAAGAAGCCATGTTCTGTTAAGGAAGGGATTTTCAAACAGGATGCCAGGGCACACTGGGTTGTCATCAGATCCTTTGAAGGGTGCATAAGGTGTGAGGAGATAATCAGATAAGCTAAGCAGGTAAGCCCAAGGTCAGGCTGGTCCCAGCCTGAATGATCCTCCACCCCCACTGCCTACCTCTTCTGCAAAGAGAAAACTTGTTTTGTCTCAATGTAACACATCAATGTAACATACCAACATGTTTTTGAAATTGGTGCCTCCAATCCCATGAGGCTGCCTTGAGTACAAAAAAGATTGAGAACCACTGCTCTACACACTTCAGAGGGTGAAATTTCCATTATACAGAGATTCTGAGTAGGTGTTTAGGGTGGCTGGCTCTAGGTAATAGGAAAATACAATCCTGGCGCTTTTCAGTTCACTAATAAGACAGGCAGGCCGTTTCCCTGGAGAAAAATATCTGTGTGGGAGGTGTATAAACAAGGAGCTGTTCGTCCTCCTCCAGACATGCTGATGGGCATGGAGACTGCAGAAGAGCCAACTCTGGAACTGGAAAGAGCCAGCCTTTTTATGGTAGATTAGTAATGGAGACTTGAAAATCTGCCAGTGAAACCGGGGCAGGCAGAGCTTCCATCCTGGTGTACTGAGGATAAATACATGAGCAAGAAAATGTTTCTCCATCACAAGGGAGCAAAAAAAAGGCCCAATGCTGGTTTAAAAAAAATCCTTTGCAGGTTGCATGCATAGTTTTAGGAATCGATTAGTAGACAAGCACTTGGTTAAGGTGGTTTTGAGCAGGAGGTTTGACTAGATGACCTGGAGAAGTCCCTTCCAGCCCTACTTTTTTAGGATCTGTGATCACTTGCAGCATCTAGCCTAGGTGTCACTGGGGGGACTGGATACATGTAACGCTTAAACTGTTTAAAAAGCAGTTTAAACTGCATGCATCCCAGTGTAAAACCAGTGTAGAATTTTTAAACATCCTGCAGTGTTTTACAAATGCACCTCGATAATCGGAGATTAAGCTTTCCATCACTAGTATCTGGTCAGTCCTCCAGGTATCCCACGCTGTACCACTCCTTCCCCCAACCTATCATAGAATCATAGAAGTAGGGTCTTGTAGATCTTCAAGTCCGACCCCCCTTCTGGGCAGGAGAAAAGACTGGATTCAAACGAGTCCAGCCAGGTAGTCATCAAGCCTCTTCTTAAAGATCCCTAGGGTAGGAGCCAGCACCACTTCCCTAGGAAGTTGGTTCCAGCTCCTAGCCGCCCTAACTGTGAAGTAGTTCTTGCGGATGTCTAATCTAAATCT